GTTTCCCACCTCTGTGCAGGAAAATCTCACTCCCGCGTTCGTAATGGGAAGGGGGAAAGCCCCCCATCAATATATTTCAACGAATTTTGAGAAGTAATGATTTCTCTTTAGAGACTTTAAATATAGGTTTAATAGTCCTAATAGAACAATCATGATATGTCTCAAGTCTTAACTTTAAAAAAATTTAGATAAATCGGAAGTGTGTTTGGTGAATGTAGCTTAGTTCATTCCTAATTTTCGGCTTAAGAACTTTATTGTACCAGGTAGTGGTAACAAATTAGTCCCAATAGATTCTTAAATATATAAAGTTTGGAGACAATCCTTCATATGGAATGAAGCTATTGATCAAAAACTATGTATGAGATCTCACACCCTTTCTAATGGTAATATGTAGATCATTTAAGGCTCATCAGAATCGGATGTAAGGCTATTACATAGGCAAGTTTCAGGAGTATTTTTAATCTTTTAAAATTACTTGTTCTGCTCGAGAGGTATGATCTATATTCTTTTGTGTTTTTCTTTTCCTAGAACAGACATTCACTTCCTTGCCTACTTTACTGTACATTTGGCTGATCTAATTGAATGTGGAGTTTATGCATTTTAATTTTGCTTTGTCAGAAAATTGCAATTCGACCCTTCTGATGTGGAAATTGTCTATATCACTGCAGGTTGCATGGGAACATGAACAATTTTCTAGAGCAAGAGTAACTGCTTTGACGCTTTCTGAACTTCCTGTAGCCCCTGAATTACTGGAAAGTACAGGGGGTCTGCATGATTCGAGGTGAGGCTGCAAAATATCTATTCCACACTGCTTTTTTTTAGGAGGCTATTATTTAGAGCTGGATTTTCTTGCAGGAATTTGGTAGATGAAACTGCTGTCTATAGAAGCGTAAAATTAGTTGCTGAGAGCCTTGCTGTAAGAGCTCTGATTTCCCTTATTACTTTATGAACCTTTATCATTTAATATTCTTTAGGAAGGTTTAGGTTCGTATCACTCAATTCTTATGTATTTACATATCTAATAACACCTAAACTTTAATTTTTACATACTTCCACCATGTCTATGCATAAAAAGGTGTATTTCACCTTCTAAAAGTAAAAATAGTGGTATTGGCTATGTGATATGAAAGATTTGGGTGGTTTAAATGTAAAAAAAAACAAAGTTTAGGTGTTAGATATGTAAATACATAGGAATTGGGTGATCTATATGTACATGCCCTGATACCAGAGTTAACCCAAACCACAATAGGAAAAACAAATACTATTACTAAAAATGAATAGGCAATTACAACCAAACATACTTGAATGAGAAATTACAACAAAACAAGACAAAATCTCACATTTTGGCTCCATCCAGAGGGTGGTGGAGGTCGGCTGGATGATCGAAAAGTGGTGATAGGAGTCTGAAATGGGCTGTGGGCCGCTGGAATAGCAAAAGGAGGGGCTTGAATTTCATGGGCAGTGAAGTGGAGGGCCTAAAATGGCAGCAGTAGCCAAGGGGAGGTTTGGGACAGCGAGGGGCAGCCAAGGGGAAGGGTTATGGACTGCAGGATGGCAAGGGGAGTGCTATCCCGGGCCTGCGGCAGCAAGGAGATGGCTGCAATGAATGAAATTGGTCGCTAGGCGTTGTCACGGATAGCTTCAACAAGTACAAAGGGCTGGACAACGGTCAAAACAGCGAGGAAAGGGATGGAACAAGGATGACAGCGAAGGTGGAGGGCTAGGATGGCCAGGGCGGTGAAGAGGAGAGAGGGTAAGGCAATGGCGAAGGCTGGAAAGATTGCAGAGAAGTTGGGTAAAGATAAATATTCCATTGGAAACGAGCTACAGTCGGAGCACCACTCATTCCCATGGAAGGAGAACACCACGGACGAGTTACAGCTAAAACATCTTCACACCGTCGGATATAGTCCCGGAAGGGGAAACACTTGGTGCGAGGGGCTGTCCTAACAGAAAACACCATAAAACTCCCTTTCAAACCCTAATATAACATATATATAGGAAATGACTAAAAATGAATGAAAGATAATAGGAAAAAAAAAACATATCCAAGGAAAAAACGGGACTGTTTTGGCGGCCTGTCTCTTGTCTCTCGTGATATTGAATCTTGCGATAGTGTAGCCGAAAATTCTGTATGGGAAAACTCTAGGGTCATGCCCCTATTTCTTATAGTAATGGAAGTCTGGTAATTTGGGGAAGGGCTTACTAAAATTTGTTCCGTGAGCTAAATAAAGATACAATGTGTGATTCAAATAAATGTTTTAATTTAATGTGTTCCTAATTGTAACGATTCGTTTTGTATACTCAGAGAAGAAGAATCTAAGAGTTGAACACTCGAAAGAAACCCAAGAAGAAGAACGATTTGTGGACAACCAAAAGGGAGGAGTGGAAACGAGGGGATCAAAAGCTAAGGAGATGAGTTTGCCTATAAAACGACATGGCCAAGGCGAGATTTACTTACCGAATAGTTGAATGGCTCAAGTTAGGGCCTCCTTGTAGTCGGAGGCAACGAACGACGACGTCTTTTTCGAGCAGCGTAGAAGGAAGGATCTGTGTAGGAGATCCCGTGCCCTAGCATACCAACGAAAAAGAAGAGGAGAAGAAGAAGCATCACAAAGGAGGAAGGGTTGAGTTTGTGCATTTGTGTGGGAGAGAAAGCCGAAGCCAGGCTTTCAATCCGGCTCTCTCGCGTGCAGAGGTGATCGAGCCGAAGAAGAAAGGGAGGAGGACTCGCGTGCTAGGAAAGGTAGGATTTTTTTTCGGCTGAGAATAAGCTTAAGAGTAAATTAATTAATTAAGTTATTAAATAAATATTATATATATTATATTTATAAGTTTATAATTTAAATGTGTAACTTAAGTCCATTTGATTGAAGTATTAAAGAAAGGTTAGAATTTTAATTTTAAATTTATTTATGTATAAATTAATAATATTTAATATTTTTTTAATCAAACTTAAAGTTTAAAGTATTGAAATCTTAATAGTACAATACAACAATAATTGATAATTAAATTAAAATATAATAATTAAATATTTAATATTTTATAGGTGATAATTTGATAGAAGTAATATAAGTTAAGAGTAAGCACTTCGTCTATCTTCGAGGTGACTACTCATATTTTTATATTATGATATTATTTTTGTTTATTCTCGTCTGAATGCATTTATTATTACTGTGATTTAGGGTTATAATGAATTTTATTCATATTGTTAGAATGACCTATGTGCCCAATTTGTAGATATTGAATATTATATAGGAATATTGACTGCTATTTAAATGAGAAGAAAATATTTATTAATAAAAAATGTTATTTTTTGGTATTTTTCTATGTGTATGATTGACTATGATGAAGCCTATTTATGGTACTAGTAGGAGAATCCTAAAGTACCCGTGCACGTATGTGGAAAATGATATTAACATTGAAGTATTTTATGTGGTACAATTTTTCGATGGAGCTCCTATGACGTTTGTGCATATATATAAAATGATATGGACATGTTATTGATATATAGTAAGATTCATTAAATAATATTAAATATTTGTATTGATTTATTAAAAGTTTAACTGACGTGTATTTTATTTTTTTCTTGTATTATTGTAGATTAAAAATATTGGTATTCACTGGCTTGTTTAGCTCACTGTTATTTTTAAACTAGCTTTTTCAGATTAATTTAATTGATTAAAAGATGAACAATAGAAGAGATAATATTTATAGAAGACGCAAACAACCTATACTGAGGTAAATATGCTGTTTTAATTTAATTTGGCTAGTGACTATTTTATTTGTTAATAATTAATTATAGAGAATAAATATTAAAAATTTTTAATTCTTATCGTTTGACCGTTTGTTCTTGTCTTGGTTAATTCCAAGTCCTAAGTCGGGTCGTGACACTGATAATCTTGGGGATGAGAGCTGTTTTACTTTTTGAATAAACTCGACAATGGTGGAGGGGCTGGGCTTCTTGTTGAAAGAATCTTTCAAATTTTCAGTTCTTGTGTACGATTACTTTTGTTTTTGTTTTATCATTTTCTTTTTTAAATATGTTTTTATTTTATGTTTTTAAAAATAAATAAATATGTTTTTGCGAACACTTAGAATAATTTTTAGGTGTTTTGAGTGTTTTCAAAAGCAATAATATCTTACTTAAACATATTAAACATCTTTTATTTCAAATAAAAAAATAATAGAAGGAAATAAGAACAAAAGAGCAGAAGTGATCCCAAACAACCCCAATTTTTACGTGAGTTATTATTTTTTTCCCTATTTGCAATTTTAGGGGTTGCTTGGTTGGAAGGATTTCTGGTGAACTGTAATTAATTTACCGAGATTTAAGGAACTTATGTGTTTGTTATAAAGAAGTACACGTACAATATAATGTTTCAATGAATTTAAAATTCACTCTTTAGTTCATTTTGGTTGAATTAGAATTCGGCCGATTTGATTGAATTTGAATTACACTATAAAATGCTATTAGCAAACTATTGCTCATCTCCACGACCCATCGCTCGTCCGCTGCCGGCCGTTAGTCGACGCTCCTCCGCCCGCAGCCGCTCGCTGTCTTGTCGCTTGTCACCCGCTGTCGGCCACAACCCATTGCCCCCCCGCCCCCAATTGCCTGTCGCCATTGTCAGTTGCCACCTGCCGCTCGCCGCCACCAGTTACCACCCGTTGCTCGCCGCCTATTGCTCACCTTCCAAATAAATTATTACATTATTTTCAATCTACTTCAAATCAAACAATAAAATATAAGGTCATGCTTTTTTTTTTTTGCAGTGAACCAAGGATCCATAAAGTATTTCAAATACATTGTAATAACTACAAACTTTTATATTGCGCTTTATTTTCAACAAACCAAACAACTCTTCAATGATGTCGAAGTTACCTTGCCTCTGTGTCCATCATTCGTTCCATTAGCCTACTGGATTTTCTCTTCTTTTTAATTTGCATGGCATGACGGTATTTCTTGCGATGTATTTCAGCCTTAAATTTCATAAAAACTTGAAATTTCTTTGAGAGGTTTGCATTTTCAAGTATTTATCTGATAACTGTTTCTAAGCATAACTCATGTTACGTGCATCTTAACCTAAAATGTAAGTTTTTATGTCAGCTATTGTCAAATGTGATTTCAGTAAATTCTTAAATGTGTCACAATAACTAGTGGAAACTTGATGTTACTTTTGTCATTTATCCATCTATTTTTATGGACATTACAATGAATGTTTAGAAATCTTTATAAAATGCATTCCTCATTCTTATAAGAAAAGTGGAAGATTACCAATTGACGGTCCTATCGGCACTTGGTCCTAGTGTGGGAAGCCTTGAGACAGGAGAGCGAACAAGATGAAGAGCTGAGGAAAAGAAGGGCCGAGCTACTACAGGATCTGAACAATCATCCAAGATATTCATGAGGGGCCAACAACTGCTTCACCATGGGTATTTCGTGCTACCTAAGTCGTCAGAATATATCCCAGACTATTACAGGAGTTTTATAGTGGTTTGATCGGGGGACACTCAGGGGTACAAAAGACCTACAATTGTCTAGCGACAAAGCTTTATTGGGTGGTGATGCACAGAGATAGAGGACATGGTTGGAAAATGCGATGTATCAGCGACACAAGTACTTAACCAGGGCACCAGGAGGGTTACTGCAACCATTAGCATTGTCGGGGAAGGTTTGGGAAGAAGTGACGATTGATTTTATTGAGAGTTTGTCACGGTCATAAAGGTTCACGGTGATCATGGTGGTCGTGGATTGTCTGATTAAGTATGCATATTTGATTCTCATACGACATCCCTACACTATGGTCTTAGTTGTGGCGGTGTTTATCCGGGAAGTGGTCTGTTTGCAAGAGTGTCAGAATCGATTGTATCGAATAGGGACAAGGTGCTCCTCATTCACTTCTGGAAGGAGCTATTTGCAAAGACAGTACTGCGTTGTATTATATCCAAACCAATGAGCAGACGGAGGTGGTCAACAAGAGTGTGGAGACAGACCTGTGGAGCAGACGGAGGTGGTCAACAGGAGTGTGGAGACAGACCTGTATTGTTTTATATCCGATACTCCGAAGCTATGAGCCAAGTGGATTATGTGGGCCGAATATTGGTATAATACTTCATATCACACTGTAACACAAATCACCCTTTTCAAGATATTGTATAGGCGGGATCCCTCAATTGATACATCATGGCATAGTGTTACCCCGATATCTAACGTCGATCAGTACTTGGAGAGAGACGAGATACTAGTGGAGATCAAGGGGCATCTACTGAAAACTCAACAAATCATGAATTTAGGAAAACGGATGGACACAGGAGATGTGTAATTTGAACCAAGGGACATATTCTACTTGAAGTTGAGGCCCTACCAATAGAAGAAATTGGCTAAGAGGAGAAGCAAGAAACTTTCATCACGATACTTTGGATCATATGAGGTGATGGCATGCATCAGAGCAGTGGCCTACCGTTTGAGGTTACCAACATCATCCACACTACACCCGATCTTCCATATATCACAGCTGAGAATTGCGATTGGAGATAATACACCCTCGTTTACACTATTTTCGACCCTAACGAAGGACTTAGAGGTGATTCTGGAGCCGCTAGAGATCGAAGGAGTGCACCGAGGAGTAGGGGGAGCAAATGAGTTGTTGGTTTAGTGGAAAAAACTGTTAGATTATGAAGCAACGTGACAATATTACAGGTGATTCACAAGCAGTTTATCATTTCTCCTTGAGGACAAAGTACTTCGTGATGGGAGTATTGTTACGCCTTTAAGTGATCCGGTCTCTCCTGGATCGTTCGAGAGCCACCCAACCGGCTCGCCACAAAATTAGGCGGGCTGGTCTTTTCCACGATGAGCGGAGCGACAAATTGCCGGGGCAGAAGAAAGCAGGGCGTCGATAGGGTTCGCGAGTGCTCTTTAAGCACATACTCAAGGAGGAGAAGTTAAAGGAGTTTGGAGGGAAGCTTAGAAGGAAAGTTTGAAATGGTGTGGGAGGATTCTATTAAGGGGAATAACTTAGGGTTTATTTTTTTTTATGCATGTTTTATTAGCCGTTGTGCTCTTTTTCTTCTTTGGATGTTACTAGCGATGTATAGGGTTGTGGGAGAGACGATCTACCTCTCGAAAAGTAGATCATCATTGTCTTGTTCGTTTTCATTTGTTTTTGTAAGAGCACCCCTCATTTGAATTTTTCCATCTATATTTTTCCATTTCATTGTTGTTTACTGATTTTGGTTCCCGAGCGTATCACACGCTTCCATGAAGTTTAACGCAAACTTGATTCATCATTTTATACAATAACAACAACAACAACAACAAACTTTTATTTAATTCTAAAAATTAATATCATTTTTTATACGATATGTCCAAGTCTTCCTAGGTCTACCTCTATTTTTCTTAACATAAGCTGAATCTAAAATGTCTACTCTCCTAACCAGATCATCAGATATTCTACGTTTAATGTGTCCAAGTCATCTAAGACGAATCACTCTAAGTCACTGGAGCTACACCAACCCTATGACAGATATATTAATTTCACATTTTGTCTCTAAGTGAAAAGCCACTCATCCACTTAAGCATTCTCATCTCGACAACACTTAACTTAGTTTTATGCTTCTCATCTCGGTAACATTCAACGCCATAAGGCATTGCAGGTCTCACAACCATCTTATAAAATTTTTCTTTCAGTCTAAGTGGTACTTTCGATAGACCTGAAGCATTCCTTCATTTCAACCAACCAACTTGAATTCTACTAATAACATCCCCTTCATTCTTAAAAATTGGGACCACAATACTCTTCCTCCACTCTTTAGACATCTTTTTAGTTTTTAAAATAATATTAAAGAATTTAGTAAGCTAAAAAACTTCCAAATCTTCTATATATTTCAACACTTCAATTGAGATATCATCAGGTCCTACAAACTTTTGTTCCATCACCAACTATTGTTATTTATAGTAACTTTTTCTTTTGATTCTGCTTGTACATCTTTTATCACTTGTTTTATAGTGTTTGTTACTTTATCCCACATAAAATTTGTTTCTTTATAAACATCCCAAATCTTGAAATCTTGAAGTTCACTCATAAAAATAATCTTGTTTGTCTTTTAGGTGCCCTATTTTAATTCTATGACAATGATTCTTAGTATTCATTATTTTATAACTCTTTATCTTAATATCTAGAACTAATAATCGATGTTGAGTTCTTAAATTCTCACTTGGAATGACCTTACAGTCTTTACATTCTCACGATCTCTTCTTCTCATAAGAAAATAATCAATTTGTGGTTTATTAGATCCATTCTTACAGGCAAAAATATATTCATCTCTTTTCTTGAATAAAATATTAACAATAACAAAATCATATGCTAATGCAAAATATATTCATCTCTTTTCTTCATTTTATACCTTGATCTAAAATTTTAGGGGCATTCAGATACTACCACCTACTTTTTATGCATATGCATATCTAACATCTAAACTTTACAATTTACATGTAAACCACCCAAGTTTTTTATATCACATCAAAATTATCATTATTTTAACTTTTAAGAAGTGAATACACCTTTTAATGAATTGGTAAGGTTGCATCCATGTAAAAATTAAAGTTTAGGTGTTAGATATGTAAATACATAAGAATTGAGTGTTATGAATGTAAATCTTCCAAAATTTTATCCCTTGGCAATGCCATCTCTCATGTAGGTTTGATTATCATTCTGCTTCAACCAATTTTATTTCTTTTATTGCTATATTTTGAGTCTTATCTGTTAATTTGTTGAGTTTTGTTCTTGCAGAGGCATATTTATGGCAAACGAAGTAGAAATATTCAGATTTTTGCAGAAAACAGTAGTTTGGCAATTAATCCCTTCTATATAACAATGTGGCTAGATCTTTTGTCACGTACTCCTAGAGTAGCGCCCTTCCTTCCGAAGACGAGCTCTTTCATTTCGGCTTTGAAAAAGGTACAAGCTTTATAATGGTGATATTATGTATTTTTATTTCTGACACCTAAAGTTGATATTTACATATATACTACTTTAATGTTATAATCACATCAAAATCTATGCATGTGAAGGCCTTTTTCACTTTTAAAAAATTTGTAAGTGTTATTTTTTTAGGTATGTAAACACACAAGGATAGGGTATATATGTAAATCCCTATTTTTTATTATTATCCTTTTCCTTTGGTACAACACAATATCCAAAGCAATAATGGCAGGCTAAAAATAATTGGTGCCAAAAGGATCAGAAGAATAATAATAAAGCCCACTGTTATCAATAGACATTTTCAATTTATGAGATGCTTAATTGTCATATATTGACTCACATAATCTTTGTAAAATGTTGCAGGAATTATCTGATCATACAGTTGATGTGTATGGAACGCATGAAAACATTGATGGCATCTTCACTTTCTATGATTCAACAACAGCAACTCTTAACATTTACCAGGTGCTGTGCTGTAATATCCTTAATTCATTAATTAAATAAATATATCATTTTGTTTGTGTACCTTACATTCCTTTGCATTGTGGATAAATGATTAGTATTTCTTGTCGATATACTGCTTAGAGTATGTTTCTTCTTGTGCTCTCTTTCTTTTTTAATAAAGGGGCATTTACATAATTACCATGCAATTCCTATGCATTTACATTTCTAACACCTAAAGTTTACTTTTTACTTTTATACCACCCATGTCTTTTATATCACATAAAAATAAAACTATTTTAAGAAATACGCCTTTTCATGCCTAGATAAAATGGCATATATGTGAAAAAAATGTTAGATATTCAAATACATAAGAACTTAGTGGTTGCATGCAAATCTTCATAATAGAGATGTCTCCATGCCCATTGTTACTTAGAAGGGTCAGAATATCCTGATCATATTTTGGTACAGATTGAATTTTAAGACGAAATTGCTTTAAAATGAGTGCATTATAAGGGTTAATTGATTGTTCATGCATTACATTACTCTCATAACATATCCAAGAATTATATGACACATCCCAACACAATTTTTCCCTTGTAACTGGGTTAAGGTTATATTGTCTAAAGTTTGATCAGGATGGGTTCTGAAACTCTTGATTTGCTTTGAGATGAGTGCAAGACATGAATAGTTTATTAACGCTTATATTGCACTAATTTTAAAGCAATCTTAAGGGCTTAAAAACTATCAAGATTTAGTTTTAGCGAGGTTATTCTCAATCATTTATTCTCCGTTGAAGCCACAATTTGTTCTTGATTAGCTCAAGGAATCTTTGCTAGAAATACCAATTACATAACACAGCAATTGAAAACATCTTTCTATCTATTTTTCAAACTCATATTTTTCATTTTTATCTAGTTCTCAATGGATTGATCGCGGCATGCGTAAATGTAACGGTTCAATAGTTCAAAAAAATTACCAGAGTGCTAGTTTTGTAAATAGCAATGTTTCGAGTGCTATGTTTGTAATTATTCCAAATAACAGGTGAGGATATTCTGACTAAATTTCAGTTAAAGAGTAGATTTTACTCCTCTTGAATTTAATTTGAGATGAGTGTCGTATAAGAGTTAATTGGTTTATCATATATTGCACTAATCTCAAAATAAATTTAATGTTTTTAAACTTCATTATGATCTTTCATTTACATGCATACCACTAAATTTCTATGCATTTACATATCTACCTCGTCAACTTGTATCTTTCATACACACAATCTTACCAATGCATGACGAAGTGTATTTCATTTTGTAAAAGTTAAAAATGGTATAAATGTAAAGAGTGTTTTGTATGTGCCTTACCAACTCTTTGATTTGCTTTGAGATCAGTGCAATATAAGGGATGATTGATCTATTGATTTATTCATAAATTGATTTGCGCACTAATTTGAAAGCATGTCCAATGGTTTATAGAAACTGATAAATACATAAATACGCAGGTCGCAAGTGTCACTTTTGATCTACTCTTGCTGCTGGCGCTGGGATCCTACTTAATTCTTCTCTTCTGTTTCCTCGTCATCGCCACACGGGTACGCCACGCCTCTTTCATCCATTCTTCTAACAGGTTACAGGTTATTTTTTTACCTGTTTAACAAATTACTAACCTGTTTGAAAATCCTCTTTTTTTCATTTTATTTTGGCTATTTACAAATCAACCACCCTCGTTCGTCCATTTGTCAAATTCTCACTCAAACATCAATAACCCCAACCCATATTTTTCTTTTTTTTTTTAATCAAAGTCTCAATCTTTTCATCGTCGCATGAGTAAATACATCTGTTTGGTAGTTCATAAAGATCGCTTTGGTAGTTAATTTTTTAAATATCAATGTCTCGGGCGGTCTGCATGTAATTATCCTTTTTTTAATTTTTTAAATTAAATTTATTTATTTATTTTTTATTTATTTTTGTCGGTGGCTTATGTAGGGTGTTGATGATCTTATCAATATGTTCAGACGACCCCCATCCAGGAAAATGAAAGCTGCTTAATCCTGGTTAGGAACTATGATGCATTGGATTGTATAATATCCTTCGTGAAGGGGAATAAAAATCTGTTTTTTTTTTTTCTAATTTTATTTTTATTCGATGAGAAGACATTTTTTAAATATTAGAAAA